GCAAGCTAGAAATCATTCTGGAAGCTCTATGAACACAATGGGAGATGTGCTATCTACACCTTCTTTCCTCAAGCGTACTGAAGATGACTGTCTCCCCAAATAATACAGGCTTTATCAGCACTGCATAAGACACAACTTCAAAAAATATCCTCCCTCTTACCCATTCTTGCTCACAAAATGAATTTCCCCACTACCTTATAAGAACTAGTGTGATGTCCTAAAGAAGTGTACGCAAAAAATATCCAGGCAATAACAACTCCTTATGTATCAGACTGAATAAAGAATTTGTTGCTTTATAGTGCAAGAGCCATTCTCCCTTCGCCCACCCTTCTATATCAACATTAAAGTCTTTCAAGACTATCCTGCAAAGTACCTGGGACACTAACCTAGCATTTTGGTGACATGCTAATAATTCAGACTATTCCTACTCAGACACACATCTCTCTGCCCATTCACTCAATAGACATTTTACATATTACTGCATTACTCCATCCCACATATTTAAAAATCCACTGTATTTCACCTGTTCTCCCACTCATGGGAGCATTCACACACAATTCACCAAGTTACAGAGTGGTAGAAGGAAGACAAGTAGGTACCTCAGGATGGTAAAGGATGCCTCACTGTTCCCCCCTCACTGTTAAACATTTCCTGGTCAAAACCAACCCAACATAATATGGATCAACACTTTTCTCACCTCTTTAAATGATAGATTTTGTGGGTATATTGTCCCTTTTCGTCATCCTTTTCATAAGGCTCATTTTTTAAGACTTGAATTCCTTCACCACCTCCTGTTTCATTTTTACTAGCTTCTGCCACAGAATAAAGTTGACCGACTTGATACTGAAAGGTTAAAAGAGGCAAAATTTCACCACTAAAATTAGACAAAACATTCAACATGCACAGAATTAACATTTTCCCAATGAAAATTTGGTAGTGAATAAAGATGATTAGGAAAGAAAAATAACATTCTATAAAGAATATTTAGTAAACTATGACAAAATCTGTCAAAATTTATTTGTGGTTTGCCAGAACCAGAATTGTACACTACCTGTTTCATATTAACACAGCACAATAAAAACCAAACTGTAGTAGAAAGGAGGTGTAACATTTTCTCTCAGAAATATATTTGGACATCTGAGAGGGGCTTGCAGTTAAATGATTTTCTGTACGATTTAGATTTTTGGTTTCAGATCTCGGAAGATGGTTCCTACCATCTTGAAGTCACTCAGTGTCTC